TTTCCTATCCCTTGTGACCCTTAGCAGTGTTTCGCCCTTTGCTAAGGTGCATGCTTCCTGTTCTACCATCCATTCATACAAGCTCATCAGGTACGTGGCTTGCTGCCTTCCCCTATCTCTCTTGCCCTCAATATGCCTTGTGAGGGTTAAGTTTTCCAAGTCCTCCTTCCTTATTATATGCCCAAGGAATTTCAGCTGGTTCTTCCTGATTCTGAGTGTAAGAGTTCTTTTTGTTGCCATTTTAAGATTTCCTTATTGCTTGCTTACTCACTGTCCATGGAATTCTCAGTATCCTTCTGTAGAACCACATTTCTGTTGCTTTCAGCTTTCTCATTCTGTGGGGAGATTGCCCAGTATTCACTACTATATAAGAGGATGGATATCACATAGAAATAAAGAAAAGCATGCTGAATTGATGACAACAATTTTCTGTTACTCAGCACTTTGCTTTGATTTTTTGGAGTGCATTTTTCACTTGTGACAGATCACTATAAAAAGGCACAGTTAATTATTTATGGTTAATTTGTTTAAACAATGAACTGACTTGTTTGCATCACATAGCAATAATTGTAAAATGAGGCACTAAAATAAGTGACCAAGGAATCATTATAAGTTCTCTGAATATTGGTGCCTTACAAAATATATAAAAGCTTTATTTCTAAGAATTTATGCTACATAAATATTTACATCCACTGAAGTAAACACTTGTGTGTAAAAAGGTTAAAAAGAACCTTTATCATCTTTATTCAAACTTATATATAACAATACTGAAAGATAATGACTGCATGTGTGTGTGTGTGTGTGTGTGTAAAATACTTTTGTCTTTCATCCGCAACAAATGAGTGCATATGTTCTTGCCAATTTGGGAATTCTCCTTGATTCATTGAGACATCCGAGTACAAGAAACCCCCAAATTAGTGTGGCTAATTTGTACATTGGTAATGATAAAAAATAAATTTTCAATAACTATGGTTAAAGTGAAGAATGTTTTACTGCACTAATAGAGTATTATGTATGCACTAATTGAATTTTGGTATATAAAAATTTTAGCACAATAATTGAATGTGCATTATGGGATGTCTGTATAAAGGTCCTACTAGTTTGACCAATTATTAGTTTTAAATATCATTATTGGTCATTGTTTTTGCTATTTTAGCAAGTCTTTATTTTATGGTTTTCAATTGACAACGATTTCTTTATTTTTAATTTCTTTTTCATCTCTATCTGATGTTTTTATCACAGCACTTTTTACTAATCTATTGATCTTATGTTGTAATTCAGAGCTTAAATTAAAAAAAAAAAAAAAAAAAAAAGGCCCTGAGCCTAGAAACTCACCAAGTGGCAATATCATACTCTTTTGGCCATCAAGTTTATGGTAATTGAAATGAGAGAAGACAAACATGAAAGACTTGTTTTGCAATGGTTTTTAGGACTGAAATAGCAAGACACTATCAAAGAGCTCTTCACTATGGTTCCAAGACTCTGAATTTAATCAATGTAATCGACTGACAATGAGGTCTCAGCAATTTACAGTTGAGTTGGTTAAGATGTAACTGTAAATTCGATGCTAACAGTTTCTTTTCTCACACTTCCTGCTTGTGGAACTTTCTAGCTCCATACTTTCAAGCTAACTTTGATCTGCAAAAATTTTAATGCAATGTCAATCGCTATCTACTGTCCTCCTGATTATTATTCTTTTGTTTCTTGCTCCTTAGCAATGTTTCTGTTTCAAAACTCTTCCACACTCAGTGACACCATTGTGTCTCAGTGGCTTTATTGCTTTGCATGGAATAAACTCAATTAAAAAAAATAAAATATAATATTAAGTTCTGCTTCTGGTGCATTATTTAAATTCTGATCAGCTATATTCTGAATTCCTAAAAACTTACTGTTAATAAAAAAAAAAAAAAAAATGAAAGTTCTATTATATGAAGAAATAAAATTAAGAGTTACATAAAATTATGAAAATATTTGCAACATTTTTCTTATTTGTTCTTATGGCTGTAAAAAGCGTAAAAGACTTTAATATACGATTATGATTCTGTTTTAGTATCAACATCATTTATCCCATTTTTTAGCTCCTTTCTCAAGACTTTTATTGGCAGTCAAATAAAAAATATTCAATTATTTTCTCCCACAGGAGAGAAAAAACAAAACAAATAACAAACAATGAAGATGAACTGAAAATTAAAAAAAAAAAAAAAAAAAAAAAAATGTAATAAGGAAAAAATAAAAAAATGTTTTTTATATATATATATATATATATATATATATATATATATATATATATATGTGTGTGTGTATGTATGTGTGTGTTTTAAATAATAAAAAGTTCCAAACTGAAAAGGTAAAGTTTAGTAAATATTAACTAAAAAGAATTTTTAAAATAATAAAAGCCACATTTCAGGTCTAAGCTAAAGTCACTACTGGAGCTGCTACTACTACGACTAACAACAACTAGTGTTGTGGCGACTACAATGACCATAGCAAATAATCAGAGAGGTTGACAGAGATTAGTGAACCTTGAAGAAAGGCAACTCAAAGGAACAGGTGTTACACAACACAGGTACAATAATGGTGGACAAGATTAATTAAATCTTTCTCATCAATGTTTTTAATTGTGCCAAAGAGCACCTGCATAGAGCAAACACACACACATAAAAATTAACAAAATGGTCATTTTCTAGTTGTGCCATATTGTGAAAAGATTTTTTAAAAATAATTATCTTAGTGATAAAACCAATATAAAATGATAATTACACAACAAGATATCAAACAATAACAAAACAAAAATATCAAATAATAAAATCACAACAACAAAATAACAAATAATAAATTTTTAATTTATAGAAAATTTTTAAGGAAAGAGATTTAGATATTGAAAACAACACATTGCCATGGAATCAGGTTAGTCTCACAAATAATTAATCAAGTTGAAAATTTGATCATCATGGGTGTCCTACAGTCGTGGTCATATGTCAAACTAAGATGAGTAAATATCTAAAAAACAAAATAAAATAAAATAATAAAATAAAATATGCACCAACTGTTGAATAATAGGTTAGTAAGTCAGTTGGAACAGCAAGATGGATCTTCAGCAAGTGACCCCTTCACTGCCAGCAAGAATACTAAGGACTTACTTATTTTACTGTCAGCACTTATAGGTATTTTTCAAGATGGTTCTCAGTGCACAGAATGAATTGTTTTATTATTCCAATATCTATGCACCATTTAGTGTAAAAAAAAAAAATTTTGTGGGAATGCAGAAGACATATCTCTTTTGACAGGAAGAAAGTCTTAAGGAGCCCTTGAGAGTCATGTGAAAACCAAGTGGCTGCTTAGTGATTTTCCAAGTGTAGCTCGGATGTGGCACAAGGTCGAAAGTACGGGGCACCTAGTGAGGATCGAACTCACTACTCAGTTGTAATTGTTCTAGTGAGACAAACTTGCTAACCATTACACCACCTCGGGGTGCCCAAGTCAGTGGCTGCTTAGCTCATGACAGAAGTAGATGTCAGATTCAGCTGCAGTTTGGGCAACTGCAGAGGACAGAGCCATCACACTGTATAGTTGATACCAAGCTAAGACCATTACTGCTCAAGTGCTATACTAAGTGAAATATGGTTGTGTAGTATGTGATTAATGCCAGGAAATACCAGATTGCCTGAATCAAACTTAATGTCAATAGGGAACTTTTTCCTTTTTGAAGAAAAGTCGATTTGTGGTGACTGCAATATGTACTGGGCTCACCTTAAGAGATACCAGTGCTATACCAGTGCTATACCAGATCCTCAGAGAAGTCAGGTACATCAGCAGATGGAACTGGAAAATAATCTCATAGCCACCAGGTGCACATTTATGCTTCACAGGATGCCAACCCAGCTGCACATCCGAGACAACCAGATAAGAGGAAAATATATGTGTCCAACCTAAGAGAGAAAAACAGAAGAAACTCTCTCACGTCCTTTTGCCAAAAGGATCCATGTTTGGAGATATCCCCCAAACCACTAACATCATTTTTTTTTTTTTTTTTTAAGTTAGGTTCACCCTTTACAAGGCCTGGTGGTCATCAAGGTAGTATTATGTTTGGAGGCCATTTGTGTGGATAGGAGTGGAAGATAATGGTTAACCCTAGCCTTGAACAGATTAAAATTGTAGTGATTGGGAAAACATCCTGTTGGAAGTTGGTTCCATAGGGCAGTGGTTTGCAGGAAGAAGCTGTTCAAATGGAACTTATTCTCACTGATGGGATACACAGGGAATGTGGGTGGTTTGCGACTATGTAAGTGGCATGGCAGGTCCTCTCTGTGAAGGTTTGCCTTGGTGGGATCAGGGAATATAGTTCGTCCAAGCACTTTCTGTGAAAGTAGTGGTAGAACAGCAAGAGGTTTGCCACGCACTGCCTGTGGGAGAGAGAGGTTGGAGGGTGGGATGAGATAAAGAGAGATTTAGTCTTGTGTTGTTATTAGTTTTTGCAGTGATAAAAAGTTACAGTGCACATCACTCAGTGAAGATAAAACTCTATAGTAATATTCTATGAAAGTCATTTACTAATCACTACTCTATGACAAGCCACACACACAAAAAAAATCAAAGAAAATTTCTTAACACAATATGGCATTATTAGAAGAATAACCATTAAATACAATATGCCAGCCAGATTAAGGAAGCAAACAAGCCAGCAAAGAAATAGAAAAAAACAAAAATAATAGTAAGAATAAATGCATTTTATAAATCTTAAAAAGTTGCCAAAGTAACAAAGACAGGCAATTTGAAAATCCTCCTTGGAAAGAGACTTTTTTCTCTCTTTTTCTTTCTCCTCTTCTAATTTTCCATGATCTGATTCTGTTGAAAATGTCTTCTCTTCTCTTCAATAGGGAAAGATTTTGGGAGTTTTTGTTTTTGTTGCTTTGGATACAATATAAAAATGCAACCAATAAAAGGGAAGGGTTAGTTTGGAGGGCATTGGGTCAAGGACAGTCAATGTCCATTGTACTTACCTTGATGGCATTTAGGTGGTGTGCTGGGTCATCTGAAATTCGGCCATTTTCAGGCTAACCAAATTATAAATATTTGAAGGATGTTCAGAAGCAGGTATTTTAGAAGTACATCACAATCACGCACTCATACAATATACAACTCATGATACTTTATTCAGTGTTACTTTTGAAATTTCCTATTTTTTTCCAAGTAAAAAAAAGTTTAATGAGCAAAAGACATGGAGCAACTTTTTTAAAGTTTACAGAATGATATTAGATCTTTGTATCTGACAAAAAGTAAAAGTGATAATTACTTTATTAAAAAAAAAAAATCCTAATTCAATAATTTTAACCCATTTTACCAAAAGAGAAATTAAAATTGTTTCATATTTTTTCTCTTTTTTTTTTTTATGCCAAATGATTAACTCTTGTTCAGGTCACTTGCATATAAATTTAGACAAGAAATTCTTTCCTTCTCGTTCTAATTGTCGATACTTTCAAAACAAACATCTTCAGGGAAATGAGTGGTTTTCAAATACAATTATGCTCATTGCAGGCAGCAAAAGTGGTTCAGGTTATTAAATACAGAATAAATATATAAATTCCGTTAGCAATATTTTTTAATTTGCTGGTAAAAAAGTTTATTTTCCTAACCACTGAATTGTATAAATTGAGATATAAAAGCAATTCCTTCACATCTACCTTCAGATTGTATCCTGCACTTAGAATATTTTTTGTGAATTATCATTTTGGCTACCAAGTCATAACATCACCTTTATTTCTTGAAAAAAAAAAAAAAAAAATTTAAAATGGTGCCAATTTCTAACAATTTCAAAAGAATTCAACCACAACTAATTCACCTTAAAATGATTGGTAATCAAAATAAAGTTGTATATTTTTAAGTCTAACAACATACAAATGATTTTATTTATATTGGTCTTATTAGAAGTTTCTGTTATTGCAAAAAACAACAAAAGACCTAGAATATCATTTGAGAAACTTTACCAAAAAAGATACACCATGTCCTGCACTTCAAAATAAAATAATTAAAAATTGTTCATTTAAATTACAGACATTGAAAAATCAAAGTAATCTTTTTCTATATGTGAACATAGAAAATTACCATAGGGTACCGAGAAATTTTCAGCACACCTTTATACATTATTGTATATCAAAAATATTTTGAATAGTGGGCTTTTACTGTATATAGATTATAAAAATTAAAAGAAATTTCAAAACCAAATTTATGATCACCTTGAAAAAACAAAATTAAAAAATTTTACTAGGAGTTTTATAGCATTAGGAAAAATCCATTTAATATTTATTTGGCAAAGTTTAGCATCTGAAAAAAAAAAAAAAAAAAAAAAAACAGTGTCAAAATGGATCAGTTTTCTCTTGGCATGGATATTTCTGTATATCCCATCAGTAATTTTTATTGTTTTAAAAAGTTTTTTTTTTTTTTAATTTGAATAAAGCCTAAATATATGAAACTCATTTTATATATTTTCTTTTTTTCTAAAGAATTGAGAAAAAAAAAACAAACTAAAAGACTATTCTTGCAAATAAAGAAACAGCGTTTAGTTATTATTCTTGTCAATTCTTAAGAAGGAAAAAAGAAAAGGTATAAATCTCTGTGCTCTCAACCTATTTTAGCAAATTTATGTGGTAAGAACAAATAAAAAAAAATGTCTGGAAAATGCATTTTTTCAAAATTTATAATTACAGATATTTATCATTATGTGCTTATTTAAATTTTCTTGTTCTCTCGTTTACAGATGTTTTTATAAATTTATGAAAAAATATTTGTTTTCATTGTTATTTTTTTATAATATGATAAATAATATTGTATTGTAATTGGTTCATATATTTTTATAAAATTGTAAACATAAAATTAAATCTTGTAAATAAAAAATTTAATAAAATAGTGTTTCATATTTTTTATTGTCAATTCTTGAGAATAAGACAAAATGTAACAATCTATTTTCATGCTTAGCTTTTATTCAAATTAGAAAATTGTTTTTTAAAACAATAAAAATTGCTGAGAGTGTAATAATTTGGCATTAAGAGAAAAACGGTCCTCTTGACATGCCATTTTTTGTGGGTGTGTTTGTTAAACTTTGCTGTTTTTTTTCTTCCTTCCAGTAAACTCTAAGTGGGATTGGGTAGGGATCTTTAATAATGATAATGATTATAAAAACAAATTGCCCAATTCAACAAGATTCAACAAGAGGAGAAAAATAAAAAAGTAAGTGCAAGCCAAAAAGGCGAAACAAAAATAAGAAATAAAGCTGAGGCAAAGAATGTCTATCAAAAGAAAACAATCTACAAGAATTTTATGCAAACAAGGAAAGCATAAAAATGCCAGCTGAGAAGGAATTTTTAAAATATAAACTATGCAAATCTATAACAGACAATTTTCTAACAAAAAAATTTAAAATTAAAGCACTGTAACATATTTAACACAAAATACAATATTTTTTTCAAAGAAAAAGCAATCAAAAACAAAAAACTTATTTTAATAAATTGGAATGAAATAAAAATACAGAATAAATATTTGATTATTTCTAAAATGTTCAAATTTATTCAATTTATAGACTAATTTTTTTGTTATTAATTGGCATTTTAAATAATTTCTAAGATTTCACTTGTTTAAAGGCAATGATTATCAATCAATTCACTTGTATTTCATTAAGTAAAGCAGCAATCAAGTTCATACATGTTTTTGTTTTTAAAAATGGAAAAGAAATTTGAAGCAGTCTATTAAAAAATAATAAAGGAAAAACCTAAATGTGACATTTGTGTATAATAAATAATATACTTAGAATTCACATATAAAATTAAAAAATCCTATTTTTATAAAAGCAAACTTTGGAAAACAAATTGTGAAAATGTAAATGCTTTTTTTTTTTTTTTTTTTTATACCAACTAAACAAGCAGAACTACTTTATATATTTATTGAAAAGTAGTTGTATATGAATTCAGGAGAGAGAAATTTATGGCATACTAACTGCTCTATCATGGTCATAAATAAATTCTTAAGTAGATTAGTTTTCTCAAATAGCCAAAGATTTCCAAAATTACTTTGAAAAAAAAAAAAAAGATAGTAGGAACACTTGCAAACTTTTTAGGTTTTCCTCTCTTGACAAAAAAATCGTTGTTGAATATTGTTTTTTTTGTAAGAAAAATTAATTACTGTAATCATTTCACCCATGATTCTTAAGAAAAACAAAAAAAAAAAATCAATAAGATCAATTATTTATTTACATTTCTTATTTTTCTTGATATTTCTATTTATCAAATTTTGTTTGCTAATTCTGAAAATTCATCACAGCTTATTTTTCTGATAAAAACTTTGGTTTTAAAGGCTTTAATTCTGTAGGGAATTTACAGAATTCATTACTAAGTTATTCTTAGCTAAAAATTCTTAACCTGCTTTAATTTTAACATTTAAACCAGGCATGGAAAAAAAAAACAAAAACAAGAAAAAGCTATAATAAATTTTCAACGCCAACAAAATCAGACAAAAGAAATTAGAAAAATTTTCAGAAAAATGAAAAACAATCATTTCCAGATACAAACAAAAATGTCATTATATAATAAAAGGGGTAAACAAATAATTTTCTTTCTTATTTTGATCAGTGTAATTTTTATAAAATATTTTTAAAACACATCAAAACAATGAATAATAAAAAAATACAAATTGGGAATATAAGGCTATGAAAAAGAAAAAGTAAACATTTATGTTTTATTTACACACAAACTTTGAACTCAAAATGTTAAGTAATTTTCTTCCTATCTTTATTAATATTTTTTAAATTGGTGCACTCCAATGAAATACTTAAAAAGTGACCATTTAATGAATGAATTGTTTCAAAGATAAACAGGAAAATGAAGATGACAACAGAAAATAGTTGAAAACCATTTGTCTGGAAATTCTTCATCAGTTCTTAAGATTTTCAGGCATAAAAAACATTTCATATAATTTTCACAAACCAACATTCTTGTCATTGTTATTTTAAAATCTTTAACTGATATATCTTCTGATGACATCATATTTATGTCTACCCATTATTTACAAACTATTGTCTGTTTTTATGTATTTTTTTTTTTTTTTAACTAAGATAAAAAAGTTTATGATAAATTGATATATAAATGTCCAGGATAAGCAAAAGTTCTGCATAGAAAATTAAAAAAAAAAAAAAAAAAAAAAAAAAAATCAATTTTGGGAGACTATTTTGGCATTTTGCCATACATTAAAATATTGAAAATATGTCTTGTTTGATTTCTGATCAAGACATTAATGTTGATGAAAGAACAGAAAAAAAAAGTTTAATTGTTGTCATATATATTGATTACTAATTCTTACCAATTTTTTTATGGCATCTCTTAAACAATCTCTTTTTTACATTATTATTTATAACCTTTTGAAGAAAGTGGGTTTTTTAACCTTTGAACAATAAAGCACTAAAGAAAGTTCTAGGCTAATGTTTTTCCTTTAGTCAACATACTATGCCCTGATGGCTGCTACCTGAACTTTTTTGTTACACTTTACATCAATGAGGTAGAATAAAATAGACCCCTTGAAAGATGACATTGGTTCCTGGAAATGATTTTCATCCAGCAGAGACAAGGTTATTAGATTGGTTTACTTTTGAGATACTATTACTACTAAATTTTGAATTTTCGTACTTGTGACTTTTGAGGATACTTTTAAAAAAATAAGCTGGATAAACTTTGGTTACTAATGAGAATAAAGTATTAATCTGAATTTAAAATTTAATAGGTAGTCTTTCAAATGTAGACCAATTTGGTAACTATCTGCTGGGGGTGATTCACAGAAATGACAACAGAAAAAATGAAAGCCTTAAATAACAAGAATGTCGGTAATAATTATTCTTTAAATTGCAATGGTAAATCATTTCATTAAAACAGAAATTCATGTTTCTTAAAGAAAAAAAAAATTAAACAAATACATAATAATTATTTTATCAGCACAGCTACAATTATTTACTTAACACAATTTAAAAAATTTTTTTTGAAGAGTTGACAATTTATGCATTTTTAGCAATAGATTTCATTTTTTTTTTTTTCCAAAAATTAGGAGATAATTTACTTTTTCTTTCTTTTAAAATTCTAGCAATTCTCTATTTTTTGTTTGAAATTCAGTGTACTATAACATAGAATATAATATTCTATATGAATGCAATTCCTTATCTAGGAGACATGCAATTAATTAGGCATTTAAAAATTACCTTGAGTTTGTTGATGGTGTCAGCCTCCACCATTGGAGAAAAATTGTTTTCCAATTTTTGACAGTGGACAAAAAAATTGTACAAATGCTGATCCTGAAAAATAAGCATTTTCTTTTGATAAATAAATAAAATACATAACATTTCATAAAAACTAAATTCAAGCTAACAAATGTATAAGATGTAAAAATAATGGTTGGTTTTAGTACACCTCAGTCATGTAAGTTCTAGGCTTTAAAAACAGTTATATATTATATAGGCTCTAATATATATATATATATATATAAAATTAATATAAAACAATGTACAATTAATATAGGTCTAAATATAAAATGGAATTGTTTAGGAGAGAACGTTAAAAAAAAAAAGTTCATATACAGGGTGTTTGAAAAGTAACTCCCTATTTTAAGTATCATGGAATCTCATATCCTGTAAAAATTATAGTTATATGGGAGAGTCAGCTATATATATATATATATATATATATATATACACACACACAAGAATGTTTGATTTCAGACCATGAGACCCAGGTTCAAATCTCACCAAGGTCGATTTGTCAGGAAGGTGACTTCTTGATGTTATCAAGCTGTAGAGGTGATCGCAGCATATTCCAGAAAGTGCCTGAAAACCATACCACGGTTTGACCCAAGCCATGTGAGTGAAATTGAGTAGACAGAACTATTTGGGAGTCATCGGTTGTTGAGCTAGTATTAAGCAGTGAGTCATCATGACCGAGGCTCTGAGTGTACTTGCCTTGTCAGACTGTTGATCACACCAGATATGGTTTTTGAACAAAATAATTTTAATTAAAGTTCAAGATTCATGCTATTAAATAAAAGTCAACACTAGTTGGTCTATAAAGGCAAATTTCATGGTCAAGTCAGTTTTCTAACTTAAATTTGCCTATGGCCCAGTTCACACTCCTCTCCAGTCTTTTGAACAAGAATAGAGGTTTATCTCTCGTTTCCTGCTTAACATTGGGTTTCTGGTTCCAAATGTGGATCATAATGTAGAACTATAAGAATACAAAGAAATCTTTTTATAAAAAATGATCTTTGAATTTTCAAATCATCCAAACTGGAGATCCCACAAGATCAAAATCTGATAATTCTAAAGCTTAATAAACAAGAACTTTTATATTGATCTCGGGTAAATCCATCAAAATTTAATTTGTGTATATTCTTAAACTGACTTGTTTAAAAATAGATGTTTTTATTAATTTTCTCATGTGTCTGTTTACATACACAGATAAATAAAAGGTACCTTAATAAACATTCCTTGTACAGATATAAGTATTATGAATAATCAAGAGTGGTCTCCCCTTGTTTTGTTACTCTCCTCTTTGAGAGAGCTATTTCTGTTTACTGGGACTATAAAAGGACACTATACGCGGACCTTGCATTCTCAGTTGAATAAAGCTTTCTTAAAGCCTACACCTGTGTATGTTTGTCATTACAATAAGCTTATCAAGATATGCAACCTGAACATACCTTTGTGTATATTGTAGATTTCAATCTCAAGTGCACCTTAAATAATTCCTTTTTACTGTCAACCCATTTGATTTCAGGGCATGCCACCTGCAAGAGAGAAAAAAAAAAGAAAATACAAGATCAAATTAATAGCATAAAATCCTGTTCATCTTTTTTATTTGTCACACAAATTGATTAAAGATACATAAAGAGAATATAACAAAGTCAAACATTTACAAATTGTTGTGAAAAAGAAAAAAAATACAGATTCTTAGTAAATTGCATTTTTTTGGAAATAGAAAAACTGAAAAAATGTTTTGATAAAGATAATATCATTATTTTTTTTCTTTGGTTTTAAGTACAATCATCTTTTTTCTTTCTCACTCCATTGATTACAGCTCTTTTCTATATTTATTGATAGGAAGAGTAAGGATTATTAAAATTTCTTTAACTTCTCTTTGCAGTTATCTTTATCAATCTCAATATTTCCCAATGTTGAATTGTAAATTTATATTCTCATTTTTTTTCCTGTATGTTGGGCAATAACCAAGTCAAACTGAATTTTATTCTTTTAAATTTGTAATCTTTTACACAGAAGCAAGTTGAATTATGCAGAAATATATATATATATAATGCTATTACTTAAACTTTATTTTTAGTGGATATCCAATATGAGTAGATGCTCCATTTATTTATTAAGGAATATATTTATTTTTAACTACCAGCCTGAATATTTGAGAAAATCTTTCTAAAGAAAAAATATTAGTATCTCCTCAAACATGGGTATCCGCTAAAAATAATGTTTAAATAATAAAATCTGTTGGAATAATAAATAATCAAATTCATCACTTATATATATATATATATATATATATATATATATATATATATATATACACACACATACATGTAGAAAATGAATAAACACTCTCTGGTCATTAGATCTGATAAGGTAATTTAATTTATTGCTGCTCTTATCGTCAAATGTTCCAACCCATTTTCCTCAGACATTCCAACCCGAAGAAGTCAAGCCTAATCTCGTCACATTGGCGATACGTTATTTAAAAGCTTCTCCACTTTTGTTTTAGATACTCTTATACATCCTTCAAACACACATAAAATTACATTCTGCTAAAATCCTGTGGACTATTTAGAATTTTCTTCATGACGGACTTTTTGGGATTACCTTGATTACTGTGGTCAAGCCATTTTGATTTTTGTATTTATTACTTCAGGTTTGACATTTTTGGGTAAATTCCTTTGCTTCTTCTGTTAAATAATAACCACATTAGTTTTATTAATATTGTACTAAGATCATTTGACTGATAGGTGTTTGGTAGCTGAGGTAGTTGCTTATTTCAACTGGGGCCAGAGGTCAGTATTTGATTCCAGGAAAAAAAAATGGCAGGATTTCAAATACTGATTTTCAAGGAAAACAAAACAATCACCTTTATTTGGAAAGCTGGTACAATGTAATCTTTCAACACCTGTTTGACTCTATGACTATTCTTAGCTTAATATCCAAACCAATTCGTTATTCAATTTATTACAGATTAACAGGATGCCTATATTGTCTAAAAGAAAAATTTCATGCAGATCAAAGAATCACTTCAAATTCTTTAAAAAGAATCATACCAATTAGAAAGAAAAAACACAGAAGTTGTGTCCCTTGATAAGGGAGATAATTAAAAGTGATAAAATGACGTAGATGAAATATTCAAACGAATTATGTAAGGTAGAATTTGTAAAAAAACAGTTTGTCTAACAGTTTTATTCTATTGTCAACGTTTCGCTTTCTAAGTTTATCATCATAACTAAAATAAAAAGTTACCTTGGTAATTTTGCTACTTAGAAACACTGCTTAATTTTAAAATTTTTTAACTCAATAAAAGTTAAAAATCTGTGAACAAATCAATGAGAATTGTATATAGGAAAATGTTAAAATGTAAGTATAGTGATTTGATATATCTAAGAATGTAATGGCATGTAGTCGTTTTAATGAGTTCACAAGAATATTTACAGTTTTGGGGTAAAGTGTCTATGCGGTGAAGACATAAAAGCACTTGTCTTATTGTTAAATATTTTGTAAAAAAAGATCTGGTTATTGGGATACCAACTGATAGACGGTAATCAGATTAGAACATCCCTTGGTAGGAAGGAGGATGGATCCTGTCAGACAAACAGTGTTGCTTTAAAGCTGTCATGAAGGACATCCAGATGAACAAGATTAACAGAGACTAATCCTAGCATGCAAATTTTGGGGAAATCTGTTGATCAACCTACCTTTCCTGTCCCGGCTAAATCATGTGACAAATAACCAGGTGGAAGATTTGCTGCTACAGGTAATGGATCCGGAAACTCAGACACCAATCTGGAACAGGATTTTTTCAAAATTAAAAAGAAATTAGAGATAAAAATACAAAGATTTCTAATTTTCACTTTTCTTGTTAAATATGTAAGTGGCAAAGCGTGCCAGTTCTAAAGAGGGAAAAAAAGAAAGAAAAACAGAAAAGTCAAAAGAAAGAAAAACAGAAAAGTCAAAAGAAAGAAAAACAGAAAAGTCAAAAGAAAGAAAAACAGAAAAGTCAAAAGAAAGAAAAACAGAAAAGTCAAAAGAAAGAAAAACAGAAAAGTAAAAAAAGAAAAACAATAAAAGAAAAAGAAAAAAGTAAAAAAGAAAAACAGAAAAGTCAAAAAAAAGAAAAAGAAAAGAAAAGTAAAAAAAAAAAAAGTCAAAAGAAAGAAAAAAAAAAAGAAAAAAAAAAAAAGAAAAAAAAAAAAAAAAAAAAAAACAGAAAAGTCAAAAAAAAGAAAAACAGAAAAGTCAAAAAAAAAAACAGAAAAAAAAAAAAAAAAAACAGAAAAAAAAAAAAAAGAAAAACAGAAAAGTAAAAAAAAAAGAAAAACAGAAAAGTAAAAAAAAAAAAATAAAAACAGAAAAGTAAAAAAAAAAAAAGAAAAACAGAAAAGTAAAAAAAAAAAAAACAGAAAAAAAAAAAGAAAAAACAGAAAAAAAAAAGAAAAAAACAGAAAAGTAAAAAAAAGAAAAAACAGAAAAGTAAAAAAAAAAAAACAGAAAAGTAAAAAAAAAAGAAAAAAAGAAAAAAACAAAAAAAAAAAAAAAAAAACAGAAAAAAAAAAAAGAAAAACAGAAAAGAAAAGAAAGAAAAACAGAAAAGAAAAGAAAGAAAACAGAAAAAAGAGAAAGAAAAAAAAAAAAATAAAAGAAAAAAACAGAAAAGTAAAAAAAACAGGAAAAGAAAAAAAAAAAAAGAAAAACAGAAAAGTAAAAAAGAAAAAGAAAAACAGGAAAAAAGAGAGAAAGAGGAAAAAAGAGAGAAAGAGGAAAAAAGAGAGAAAGAGGAAAAAAGAGAGAAAGAGGAAAAAAGAGAGAAAGAGGAAAAAAGAGAGAAAGAAAGACAAAAGAAAGACAAAAGAGAGAAAAAAGAAAAAATGAAGAAGAAAAAAACAAAATGAAGAAAAAAAAACAAAAAGAGAAAAATTAAAAAAAAAAGAAAAATGAGAAAAAACACAAAAGAGAAAGGGAAAAAGCAAGAAAGAGAGAAAAGTGAAAGAAAAAACGAGGAAAAAGCGGGAAGTGACAAAGAAAAGAAAGAGAAAAAATTGCACTTACATTTTTCTTTGTTTTACAAAATTAAATTCTTGAAATTCCTTTTATTAAAAATACACAGAAACACTAATTTCTTTGAAAGAAATCAACTTTTGAATGACTTACTTTCCTCCCCTCAAAAGAGGCAACCATGCACACCCAACAGGAATTTCAATGTTATCTTTTTTCTTTGATGATGATGATGAATTTCGGGGACTGGTTTTCGAGGATTCACAACTGACATGATAAAAGCGGAAGAGGAGGTGGTGTTTCTCATGGAGCTGGGTTGGCAGGTTCAATTTCACCTTTAAGCAGTAAAAGGAAAAAAAATGAATAACACTTGTCACAAGATAACTTTGTTGAAATCCACTGAAAATAATCACAAGAGTTGTCTCCCTTACCATAATTCCACACAAAATCATTTTATTAGATGAATATCTAGAGTTTATATTGCTTAGTTACAGGAACCCAATTCATAATGAGTCAAGGTTCAATCTACTAAAAAAAAAAATAAAAAAATTTCTGCACTTATTTAAAACTAATTTAATTTTTCTAAAGATATCAAGAAAAAAATTTTATGGACTGACAAAGCAAACAAGCATCAGTCTAAAGAAATTGTGAAAATGAATAAAAAAAACACAAGAACATTGATTTTCTATGCATGACAGTGCTTCCCTGACAACTCCAATTGTTGTCTCTAAGTCCAGGGTCAACTGATATCTATCCTACTCGTCATCATAATAATCTTACTTCTCCCACCCTTACAATCTTACTTAGTAACTCTACCTTGATTGGCTCTTGAATTTGCTGAAACCAATAGGATAGCTACCTAGGCCTATCATCTGGTTCACACACTGCCAGTCTTTTGAACAGGAGTAGGAGTCTATCCCTTTTTTCTGTTTAGTATTTGGTTTCCAGTTTCTTCTAAAGTTTTTTTAATTCTCTTTCACTCTCAGTAGCCCCTTGCATTTTAGTGCCATTATTGCCATGATTGTGGTGAATTATATAAAAACATATACTTAAAAAAAAAAAAAATGAAAACAAAATTGGAGACAAAATTTGTCTTTTTGGCCTCATTGACAATTTCATTGAATTTCTCATTTGTCTAAAATCTATATTGCTATTAATTTTCAAAATAAACTAGAAAATTTAATTTTCCATTATTTTCTGAAACAGCTTCAAAACCTTGTATATGTCTATAAGAAATGTCTGCTGAATATCAATTGTTCCTATTCCAGCAAATAAGTACATATGAAAAGAAAATTAAAAAAAAAAAAAAAAAAGATTCAAGTAGGATAATTGATCTAAAATTTCATCCTAAGAGAGGATAAGATGAAAAATCCAGAATCTTTAAAACTTAATATCTGATTTAGTCACCCTAACCATACCAAACTTTTTATTTACTGGCACCTTGTTTGATATTTGAAATTTAGATAGGAAATGCTATCTTAGTAAAATATATCAAGTCTTTTTGGAGAAAATGACTGGTTATTATTTTTAGGAACAAAATTATGCCAGACCACAAGATCTCTTCCTTTATTTTTTAAAATCCTTATGAGTCAACTGATATTGCCCATTTTGAAATTATGACTGTTTCTTGAAAACCGATATACTCACTTCTTCTGAGAATTCTGGAGAAGTGTTATGATGCAAAACTGTGGCACTAGTAACAGTGGTGAAAATAGGCATTCCAGGTCGACCGTAGATACACTGAAAAGGAAATAAACATAATGAGGTGGGGGAAAAAAAAAAGAAGCCAAAATTGACAAGATTATTTTTTTCTGGTATTTTTCACAAAGTTTTAACCAGTTCATAATCAAATTTCTCATGGAATAATTTTTATAAGCTATGAAGCTCAACTACAATTAATCAATGCAGGCATCTCCATAGGGCTCTTTCTCCTACCCTCTTTCTACCAAGGAATATTCTCAGATCAACAGTAAACATATATGATGATGATATCATCACAGGTTATAGAAGCACCTCCAAAAATTTAGATGACTTGATCTTTACAGCTGATCTCTGTGCTGACCTGGCTCTAACAGCTCAATGGCAAAAAGACACAACTTTGAAAACCTATAAAACGAAGCTAGTATTATTTCAACATCACCAATCAGACACTGAGCTTTCTCCTGTCACAATGAACAGTTGCATCCCAACAAGGTTTCTTGCTTGAAATGTCTGTTGGTACTCAAGTTCAATCCAGACCTCCAGACCTTTGCTTACGGTCAAATCACGCTGAAACACTGGTTCTCGTATGATCACCGAAGTTAAGCAGCATAGAGCCAGGTCAGTACTTAGATGGGGGACCGCTTGGGAACACCTGGAACTGTAAGCCCCCAAAGTCCAACCCTTACCTCACAGTCGGTGGGGGGGGTAAACGGTAGTGTCAGAGCTATGCCGCGAACTTCGTTCCTGGTAGGGCCACCAAGGCGGACAGGTCTGACACACACGCTGGCTAACAAGGGCTCTGGTGAAAATCCAAGGAGCGCCTGCATCGGTAACCGGCGTGCTTCTGGTCATTCCTGTCTCTGCGTCTGTGGGAACCCCGCGGCAAGCAAGAACGTTATCCGAGTAGGCCTGGGTACCCTACTTCTGTAATTTATCCCAAGAATCTTCTTCTCATAACAGGAAGAAGCCAGCTCAATCCGCCCAGGGTGAATGCCGCATCAGTACAGTACATTACAGACCTCCAGTGGAACTTCTATATACAATTTATCACTTAAAAAAAAAAAACTTCTACATATCAGAGGCAAATTAATCTCACCATGGAGTGTTACCGTCATGTCTTGGCTGGAGCTGCCGATCCTCACTTTCCAGTCCTGGAGCTCAAAATCATTTATACAATTTTATAGGCAATTACTTATTTTTAACTCTACAGCCTCTTATCTACAGATACAACATTGCAAGCCAATCATTAATATATTTCCTTGGCAAATGTTTAGATGAGTGCCACTCTTTAGTTCTATCAGTTCAGTTCTTTATAGCTAAGACTTGACATGTTACATCCATGGAGTTGAATCACCTGCATTCTCTCCATATTACAATTGTAAGGAGGAAGTTTTACCATGACAGTTAACCCCCCACCACCACCACCACCACCACCATCCAGAACAGTTGCTCTGTGGAACAAATACTCAAGTGGGTGCTTTGCTGAATGCTAGAATTTTAATCTCTTCAAGTCAAGGGTCAATTGCCATCTATCCTCCTTATTCACATAATACTCACGTCTTTCTACCTCAACCTACCTCCTTTCATATTCCTTCCATGAGCTGCTCTTAAGCCTTATATTGGATGAAACTTAGTAATAAAAAATTAAGATAAAAATCTTAAATTGTTTTTAAATTTTCATTTTTATACATCTTATTTAATTTACTGTTTCCATCTTCTTCAATAAACACATAAAAATGGTTGAATAATAAAAATGGTTGAATATATCAGATGAAATGTTACAATAAAGAGGACAGGAGACCAAATAATATACAAAAACTCTCAGGCTAAAATGTTCATATTATTCTTGAAAATTTGTAAATTTATTTTTTTTATGTGAATCATTTTCACATTTACAATTTATTTTTAAAATAAAAATTTTATACAATAAGTCTTTGTTCTTAGCAATGAAATATACAAATTTATGAAAAAAACAAATGAAAATTTAAAATAAAATTATCTGAATGATCTTTTATAAGACATTTTAAAAGGTTATCTTTGTTTTATATTTTGATAAAAGTGGATCACCAATACAAATTAAAATAGAACATTTAAAAGCTATCCTTGTTCTCTGCTAAAAGTTGATCACTTGTAACTTGAAAGAAAATGGGTAACAAATATTTGCACAAAAAACTAACAACAAAAGTCATTTGTATTCAAATTTTTCTTTTTAAGTAACTCTGTGAAAATAAAGTTGAAATCAGACAATCATAAAAACTTAGATTTTTTTTTTAAACTCAAACAGATTGGTTGCTAAATACTTCATGTACCTAAAATATAACTCCTGGAGAAATTTGCATATGACATTCTGGAACCTATTTTCCTCCTTAAATTTCAAGCTCAAAGCCATCAAGAGCAGTGTGAAGTTATCAACTAGACAAGATGCACTGAAGCAACAAGTGGACAACCATCTTTAAGTAGTTGATTTTCGTTAAGTGACAGTATATTGTTCATTTTTTAAGGGTGACTCCTACTCTTAAAAAACTAAAAATGAGTAATTTTTCACCTGCCTATCTCCACTGTTTAATATTTTCAACAACTCCTTCAGAGGGAGAAGCACAGTTTCAACAAAAGCAATGAAATTTCCTTTTATTTCCCAGAGGATATTCCTGGAAATCAAAAAACAGTTTGAGCAATCCTGATTGGTGACCAACCCAGTCACAGAGAATGATTTGTGCAACCTTCATAAACACAAAATATTTCTTCAACCTCTAAAAAGCAGTGAATACCTTTCAAAATTTGAGAGCAATTCTCCTTTAAAATTTTTTTTAATATATAATTTGTGTGAATAGTGAATAAATTTTTCAAATTTATACATTGAGAACATGGTTTTTCATATTGAACATGGTTTTTTTTGCATATTGTTCATAAACACCCACTCTTTTCTTTTTGATATAATTTAAAAATATTTTATATATATTTAATATTTATATATATATATATACCCATTCTTCTCTAAAATCTTTTCAATAAAGTCTTTTTTCCTCAAAACAGAAAAAGAAAAAGGTGGCTAATTTACTAATTGGTTCCTTTTTCTTGCAAGACACATTTCCAATTTGTGTAACAGAAGTCTTTTTATATGTAACAGGAAAAAAAAAAGAAAAGAAAAAAAGCATGAGTTTATCCCTTGCCTCCCTTTGTATTTTGTTCTTTTAACATAGTTTGGCATTCCTGCCTTTCAAAAATACTTACAAACACAAATATACAATTTTACTTGGGGTTTTAAATCTAACTGCATATAACTTTAAAAAAAAAATGCAAAATATATATTTATATTTAACATTAAGCTTGTTTTTTTTGTGCTTCCAGTGTCACTTGTCTGGTGAATGGAGCAAAAAATAACTTTTTTCTTCAATAATTAATGATAAAACTCTCAGGCTGCATGCTTACCCTCAATGGGACGGCTCCTTCGTCATCAGAATCTCTAAATTCAATACAACAGGCAATATTGCGGGCCTGTAAAGAGAAGTGTTAAGTATTAAAAGGAGAGGAAAATTAACAATTCATGCTGCTTATTTGTCATAAATATGACCCCTGATGGATAAAAAGCTTATCCGATTTCCTGAAAGTCATGAGTTCAATTCCTATATGAGGCAGTTAAAAAATATACACCAACTCGGGGCAAAGATTAATCAATATCATAATAAAGAACTGTTACAAGTTTTAATGATTGATATGTTCTGAGCTTTATAAATAGGACTGTGTATGTGGTGCCATATTCCATTAGTATGTAGGAAGTGCCATTCTCTCAGCTTTACCCTCCCAAGAATTGCCATGATATGCAACAGACACCCAAGAGGATGCTTTCCCCGATCACTACACTCTTAACCTCTTCAAATCTAAGCTCAAATGTTATCCATCCTACATATCCTCATAATCCAAACTTGTAGTAGTTCTGCTGATGAAGAGAAACAAGGTTTTTCAATCAAAAGTTAGAATGCTCTAATAAAGACGGAAAATTTTTTTAAAAATACTTAAAAATTACTTTGTTCTTTCCTCTTAATAATAACAAACATTTTGATAAAATTTTGTTAACGTCAAGTTTAAGGCTGTTATTATACTGCTATGCTCATTTTCCAGCGATCTCATGCCAGTACCTACCTACTTCCTTGCAATCCAACCTCACTCAGAAAGAAAATAACCCTATGACATTATTTTACTAGTTTTGTCTATGCAAATGACAGCAGATATCAAATTGGTATTTTTGAGATTTGTATATCTTAAAATGTCCCCCACCTTCTCAACATTTATTACAGTATTCTTTTATCTTTCACGATCATTCTTTTCATCACCAAGTTTTATAAACAGTTCACCATTGTCATAACAAAAAAAAAAAATCATATCGTCAGTGCAAGGGGAGATAACTCAGATAAATTAAAAGTTTAAAATATAGAAATTTGTATATTTTGTATATAAGATTATTCATTTTATTTGTGTCTTTGAACTATCCTAAGCTGAATATCTAGGAAAGTTCCTTTGGGTGCACTTCATTTGTACCATCTCACAGTTAATGACCTCTAAATATAAAACATTGAAGAAAGCAAGCAATTGTATTGTTAATCTTTCAGCAATATAGTAATAGATATGAGAGGTCTTGGTAGCAAGTCAAAAAGAATTGACAAAAGAGGAGACAAAAAAAGAATTGAAGGAAAACTACAAGAATAATTGAAGGTTAATATTTGTCAAATTCCAACCAGTTTTACTTTAATCTATTTTTTTGATCAGTTAAACAGAATAGCAGCTAGTAAGAAAAAAATAAAAAAAATGTGCTACATTAATCAAATCTAAAATATTCAAGAGAGCCAACAAATTTTGACTTTCAGTATCTGTTTATATTTCTGAGATGAGGTATTATGTACACTATTTACATTATTCAAACTATTGTCCTCATCTTTGTCACCATATTTATTACAATGTTTCGACCATTGTACGCTCCAGCATTCTTTAGGTGGTTGGAATGTCGAACTGAACCCTTTATTTCGCTCACTGGGGTAGACTATTCTAGTTCCACATGCCATGTCTAATGGATGTCAGTTATCAGTTATCTCCTGTTAATTCTATTCTCTAAGTTCTCCACCACCTTAACCGAGTATTGAACTCACACTCTTTGGGTCCTGTCACTGGATGTAACCAATGTCTTTATCCACTGTGCCATGTGTCCCTTGAAGAAAGCCAGAGCGTATAACGACCAAAACGTTGTAATAAATATGGCAACAAAGATGAGGACAATAGCCCAAATAATGTAAATAGTGAATTTTGACTATTTTGACATCCAGTTGATGTATGATTACAAATGAAGGTGTATGAAAAGAATAGACTCTAAATTGATTCCTATGAGTATTTTGTCTAAAATCTATGCTTTCTTTTGCACTTTGCAATATAGTATGTCGTAGTAGCCAAGTTTTTAATTCCAGTTAAGGTCATTTCAACTGCTGTTAAAGGTGGTGTCTCATGACGGATTTCTGAATTGATCTAAATACATTTTTCACAGAGAGGTTAAAAAAAAATGTCCACTTTAAATAGGCATTCCTAAATTAAAAATTACCAATGAAAGAATAATAAATCAAATTGCCTGACCTTTGTGAAAGTTTTCTGGCAATCGTATTTAAGGCTGATTGGATAGACATAGAGATGATTCTGGTAGGAACAAAACGGAGAACTGAATTCTCCTTTGTCATCCAGGAATTCTTCCACTTCAATATGAAGTGGACCATCAGGAGGATCAGGAAAATTATGCACAGGCAGCAATGACGGAGTTAGACAGTCTGAAAACAAAACAATAAAATATAATATTGTATTATATATTAATTTATAATATGTAAGCTAGTTTCATATTAAGCTACATTAACTGTCTATATTTTTGAGATGAGGTATTATGTACATTATTTACATTATTCGGACTATTGTCCTCATCTTTGTTGCTATATTTATTACAACGTTTCAGCCCTTCAGTATCTGTCTATATTTCTGAGATGAGGGATTTTGTACATTATTCGGGCTATTGTCCTCATCTTTGTCGCCATATTTATTACGTTTCAGCCTTTCAGTATCTGGCTATATTTCTGAGATGAGGTATTATGTACATTATTTACATTAATCAGACTATTGTCTTCATCTTTGTCACCATATTTATTACAATGTTTTGGCCGTTATACGATCCGGCCTTCTTCAGGTGGTTGGAATGTCTAACTGAACCCTTTATTTCGCTCACTGGGGTAGACAGTGGATAAAGGCATTGGTTAGATCCAGTGACAGGACCCAAAGAGTATGAGTTCAATACCTGGTTAAGGCAGTGGTGAACTTTCAGAGGGAAATTAACAGGAGATAACCAATAACTGAGATCCATTAAACATGGCACATGGAACTAGAACAGTCTACCCCAGTGAGCGAAATAAAGGGTTAAGTTTGACATTCCAACCACCTGAAGAAGGCCAGAGCGTACAACAGCCAAAACTTTGAAATAAATATGGCAACAAAGATGAGGACAATAATGTAAATAATGTAAGCTACATTAACTTCATTAGTGTTAATTAGTACATAAATCCTGAGTAAGGAATAAGTGGTTACTATACTTAGACTTATTTAATAGCGTTTAGTTTTGTGACATCAAAATGTCCGAGAAATTTGAAATCAGAAGAGGAACAAGCATTTATGAAAGGCAAATAAACAGGTACATGAGTCAACAGGTGCCAAGTATTGGTTTGGTTTCATGAAGGCATTTTCTTCTTATTGGTTGGGTATCTACCAACAAAGAGGGATGGAAAACTCAGCAGCACCAAAATAAAAAACTGGGTCATGAAGAGCAGGGCACTGACACAACTTCCACATCATAGGAACCACCATATGTACAGAGTATGAATGGAGCTTTGACACTGGAGACATGAACAAGGACAAACAAATTTGAAACAATGCTGGGTAACACAAACAAAAATCCTTGGTAACGCATGGCAATCCTGTTGTGCAGTCAACGTGACATACTGCCAAGCTCTGCATCTTCCCTGAAAATGTGCCTGCATTTATGGAGCCTAAAACCTTAGCAGCTGGCTAGCAAAATGAATCATTTGCATAGCTAACAACACTCAGCTCACCATCCTAAAAATCTCAAGGGATAATTGGTAGACATTGTCTTTCTTCATAATCAGACATTCTGGAGTTCTGTTCTAGCATGGCAACCATGTGCTGTCTTTCTGCAGAGACAGCACACTAAACATTGTCTCTTTGACCGACAAGTGTGGGTACCATTATCAATAGTGATTGGATGCTCCATCTACATTTTGTTTCCACTATATTTCAAATTTCAAACATTAAAAAATAGTCACAAGAAAAATCATTAAAATCATTTATTTCAAAAAGGTTTAAAATTTTATTTTTTGGTTTCCTCTTCTTTATAGTCTGTGATCCTGATCTGATATGATTCAAATTTATTTTGGATTTTACAAGAATCATGCATAGGACAAAAACAATTATAGAGATTTTTGAAATTATATCTAATTAGTAATAAAAAAAAAAATAATCACAATATTTATTCTCTTGTAATTATAAACAACCAAAACACTGTTAAAATTTTTAAGTTTTATAGCATTGGGACACTTAAGAAAAAAACTGCTAATCTAAATGGCATGAAAAAAAAAACTGCTAATATAAATGGCATGAAAAAAAAAACTGCTAATATAAATGGCATGAAAAAAAAAACTGCTAATATAAATGGCATGAAACTTTATCCATTATGCTTGATTTTGCTATAGCTTCATAGTTTGCTATTTTCTTCAAGATATTTAATATTTGATTAGAAAACCAGAAATTACTGATAATAATCAATTATTGATTAGATAAAGAAAGGTTTTTAGAGTTACCAAATGATATTATTTGCACCTGTAAAAAGAGAAACAAGAAAACTTGTGACTACAATGAGGTAGAGATGGGGAAAAATTATTCCAGCTATAAAATTAAAAAGAATGTCAGATAATTAACTAAAAGGATTAATTAACTTGATTAAGAAAAAGAAGAAAGGTAAAATTCAATATCTGAATATAACTTAATGTTTTATTTTTTAAGGAGAAGAAAGAAATTGTTTTATAGGAACTCACTTGGAATATCTTCATCGATGGGTTCAAGGCGAATCTTGAGGTGTCCTGGGATAACTTGCCATTTACTCTGCTTCTCTGGTCTTTCAGGAAAAAAAAAAATCACTGAGTTATCTCCCTTTAATTTTTTCTATTTTCTTAATAACATTTTATTACTCAGAACCAGATGACACTTGCTGATGGCTCACCCAAAAAGAAAAGTAAAAGATCTAGACAAGTGAAGGTGAGAAAAAAAGGACTAACCATCGATTGTAAGACGACAAAGTATTGTCCTCAGCAAGAGAAAGATCCCAAGATGTGGGCAATGATTTGGAGATATCAAGATGAAAGTTTAAATATCTGGGAAGTGTTTTAACAGAGGATGGAAAATGTGGTTTTGAAATCTGAACATGTATTCAACAAGCAAAAGATACCATCCAAAAGCTAAGCAAAGTGATGAGAAACAAAAAAATTTCGTTAGAAAACTGGAGGCAACAGAAATGTGGTTCTACAGAAAGATATTGAGAATGCCATGTACAGAGCAAGTAAGCAACTTGGAAATCTTCACAAAAATGGCAACTTAAAGAATACTTATATAGAGAAAGATAGAGATGAAATTTCTTGGATATATAAAGAGGAAGAAAGGCTAGGAAAACTTAACCCTCACTGGCCAAGACAGATACGGGAAACTTAATGAGTTTGTGCGAATTGATGCCAGAAATGAAGGCAGAAAGCTTGGCAAAGGAAGAAACACTGATAAGGGCCACAAAGTAGGAGAGTTGATTTTTGATAATTGTTTTAGATTTGATTAATTTTAAGAAACTGGATGCAATAATTTAGGTGTAGTGAGTCCTAAAAATAAAATATATAAAAAAAAAAAAAAAAATTAAAATAAGGCATTTGCACTTTCCTTTAAAACTGTCATCTTTGTCTCTTTCTCTCTAAACTTTTCTTTCTATACTTCTCTCTCAACAAACAAGGTAAACTTTAAATAAAGAGGAACAAGAAAAGATTGAACATGGCCTAAAAATGCCAGAAGTTTGCAGGATCAGAGCCTACTTATTTGTGACTGAAAAAAAAAAAGTCAATAGGGCTCCTCACATAACTTCCATCATAAGAAAAATAAAATTAAAAAAAAAAAATAGATAAGAAAGGAACACCAGAAATTAAAATAATTTTGACCAATCAAAAAATTGACACAAAGAGAACTTTGATGTTAGCTGAAACCAATATTCGTACCAGAGTCTCTCAACCTGGTCAAAACAGAGATAAACTGACACCTCTGGGCCAGAACCAGAAAAGACAGTGATGAACAAAAAAATGCTATTATGGAAAAATCAGCCAAGAGGTCATCTGCTAATGATATTTCAGCCCTGCTTAGGGCTGTGAAAAATGCAGTAGATTAACCTTATTTCTAATAGTACTACTATCCTTATCATGGTCTGACTTCCAAACTACTGAAACAGACATTTCTCCAAACTGCTACCAATATCTATCTTATAAATGAACATTTTGCTACACTGAATACCTAAGGACTCACTTAGCCCTGTAAAACAAATAAGTAAAAATATATTATTTATTTTATATCCTTAAGTCAGTTTGTTTTCTTCCAAAGAAAATCCTACCAACACCACCTACCATATAGGATTTAAATAATATCTTAAGGGTACGTAGACAAGTGTTTAGGGCATTAGTGCATCAACAAAACCTAGTTTCAAATCCACCATGGTTTATTAGTCAAAGAGATAAGTTCTTCATAATATCTTTCTGAGGGGTCTATCCCAGCATGCAACATCATTGGGAAATATCTGAAAATGATGGGTTGACAAAAGCCTTTTGAGTAAACAAGGAGCACCACCATGATATGTTGCTGTGTTTGCAGGATGTTGTCCATCAGAAGAGGTATCCGATGAATGATAACTTCACCATGACAACACATCTGCCCATTCAGTGCAGCTTGTGCAGCAGTTATTGGCCAAGCACATTTTCCATGATCAAAATCCACCATATTCTTCCGAATTTGGAAATGTTATTCACTAGTTAAATATTTAGCCATTATCTTTCCTGTATAGACCTATCAACTTCACTTCTTGCCCTTTCTTATGTTCATACAACTCCACACAATAAACCTCTATCTTAAGTGGCTCTTGGGCCTTGTATTGAGTGATCATTAGTGTGTAAAAAAAAAAAAAAAAAGAAGAAGAAGAAGAAACAAGACAAATACCAACTGATAAGTATTCATATGAAAGTCTAATTTATATACACTCGTTTTTGTTTTTTAAATTTTTAAAACAAAACTGATTGTTATTACCTTCGCATTTCTTGTAATCTTTTTATTATCTCTTCTTCAGACAGCTTGGAACTCTCCTGTCGATAGAGAACCATTGTGGCCTCACTGGCAGGCTGAAGAGAGACAGACCTACAAAAGAATGACAAAAAAGAAAATTAACTTTCAATCTTTTTTCTTCTAATAAATTGTTTTATAAATTTGCTGCATCCAACAAAATAAAGCTTTAACATAAAGAGTCATTTTCCTTTTTAATTTATAAATGTGGCTGTGTTATGTCTAAAGCAAGCTGTCATCATTCAGTTTTTTATCATGTTAAAATGGAATATTAATGATCAAAGTATTAATTGATCAATAAAATTAGGCATTATATTGGGGAGACTACTTTTTGTACAATGGTTTTGCCACCATCTTAGGTACAGTTTCACTTCTCAATGGTCAACCACAAGAATAAACAATTCATAAAATTTATTTACACAGAATCACAAACAAAAAAACTGTACCAACAGAAACCACATTATTTAAGGATGTACAACAACTAAAAGAGATAGCACATGTAAGACAAAATAATGACAATCAAGATGTTGATATTCTATACTACTTCAAACTAAAAGTTAGGAAGGAAACCCCCATCAATAATGGAAAGAGCTATAACAATTAGTGAACTTGAGAAAACTATTTTCTTAAAGAATTGTTTTAAGAGAAAGATTTCATAAATTTTAACCAACAGTAGCACTGTTTTGGTTAATAAATCCCAAATGTTTCCTTATAAGGAAATGGCTGATATTCCCATTAGAGATGAAAACAGATACTAAACTTTGATCCTGGCCCAATGGCCAGGGAGTGAAAAAAGTGTAGATCAAGTAGCATTGGCTGCTTGATTAATGAATGCCAAAAGTTCCCTTATAAGGAAACAGTTAATATTACCATTACATTTGGGCTATTTTCCTAATCTTTGTTATTATTATCACAATGTTTCAGCCATTGTGCATTCTGGCCTTCTTTAGATGTATATTAATACAGGTAATGTTTAAGTAATCTCAAATTAAAACCTTAATCTACAGGAGTAGATTGTTCTCATTCTGATGACTATGTCTTATTTCCTTTTTAGTATTGATCAGTTATTGCTTATCTTAGTTTCACTGAGATTATATTTGTATAACTTAGTCCAGGGACTGAAGTCACAATGACTATATCACCAAATCCACAAGCCAAATGATTTAGTCCATTAAGGCTATTGTTCTATGGCACTACATTCTTTCTTTTTATGTGCCATATCCTTTCAGGATGTAGATGATCATTTCTCTCCACCTCCCTTTATCCTTTGCAGCTCTCACCAAGTTCCTTCCCTCTGATTCCTCTCTCAGACAACGTTCTGTTCTGTCTACTTGCTTAAGTCCACCAGGTATGTCATGTGTTGTTTTTGCTTGTCTCTCTTTTCCTCTATTTGACATGTGAATATCAGATTCTCTAGGCCCTCCTTCCTCATTATATGTCCCAGAAAATTCATCTGCCTCTTCCTGATGTTAAGTGTAAGCCACCTCCTTGTTTGCATCCTTGCTCACACGCTTGGTCCATGATATCCTTAGAATCCTTCTGTAGAGCCACATCTCTGTCGCCTCAAGTCCCTTCTTCATCTTTGAGGAAATTGTCCAACATTCGCTGCTGTAAAGAAGGACAGATGCCATGTAACATTTGAGGATTCTTTTCTTTGTTATCAAAGATATTCCCCTGTCTCGCAGTACTCTGCCCAAATTTTGGGAATGTGTCCTTGGCCATCCCAACACCCAAAATGAAAAACTAGTGATGCTGATAATTCTTATAAAATAAAACAGAAGTTCTCAACCAGGTAGTGGAAGAGTGGTAATCCCTTTAGGGAAGGATTTGCAGAGAGGGAAATCTTGTTTTATTGTTTTTTTTTTTTTTACAGAACTTGTAGCCCATCATGAGTGACAAAAAAAGTTGGTATGGTGAATTTTATATTCAATATGGATTCACCCTGACTTTTTATTGAACCTTTTCTTTATTGAAGTTTGCTTCAGTTTATTTATTTAATAATTAGTCATGAATTAAAACAAATTACTGTACATGCAACATTCAAGTTTAAAAATCCATCAACATTTTCTATTGCTATTAAATTTGTAAAACTCCTCTAGAAAAATATCCATGTAAATGTATATATGTAGTAATGTGGAAAAGAATGAAGATTTTCAATAATATATGCATATTATTTGGAATGCACCTTTTGAGTTGGACAATCTTGGAAAGGTTGGGGGGATGATACTCTGATATATGGTGAAAAGGGTGCATGGAGTAGAAAAGGTTGAGAACCACTGTGATAAAGAGAAGTTATAAAAGTGCTTCCTTTAAATGAAAATGTTTATAATCTAAGAAGAAATAAAATCATATGCTTATGTTGCTAAGATCTATGGTAAGAAGACATCTTCTGACACATTGCTTATTATGCTACATTTTAATAATTCTTCCATTTTATTAATAATTACTGCTGTTAATCTCTTAAGCTGAAATCATAAGTTAAACTTTATCATAAATATTTGCATATAGGATTAAACATGGAGTTTGGTTCCATTCATAGTTTCAGGTTTCTATTGAGGTTTTTGAATATTTTTCTTGTGAATAGTAAGAAAGGCTATTATATAAACATATATTTCCTTAAATAATATTGGGGTGAATTTTGTTTTTGTTTAACTAGTACAGTTTTCTTGTTAGTATTATACATTGATTAACTCAGATCAGCTTCCAAGATTTTGTTGCCTTTAAAAGAATGTTCTAGTATACAGAGATCTCAGAAAGAAACACAAGTTTTGTTTATATATATATATGTGTGTGTGTGTGTGTTAAATGCCATCTTACTAACAATTAAATAATCCAGACAAGATTATTCTAATTAGTACCAATCAAAAAACTAACAACAGATTTCTTAATTTTACAGTAATCTTCTTCTATAGGTTACGCTCCTTAAGGATGTGAGCAATGATGGCTCTTCACATCCTCCTGTCCCCAGTAGCACCAAGCAACATTTGACTATGTCAGCCATCTTTCCTTCTTGTCATCTATTCACAAACTCATAAGAGCAATTACTTGCTGTCTCCCTCTGCTTATCCTGCCTTCAATTGTCCTGTGAGTATTAAATTCTCAAAACCCTCTTTCCTCATTATGTACCCCAGAAATTTCAACTGATTCTGGTTTTAAGTATAAGTGTCTTTTTAGTTCCTGTTTTCTTTAAAACTTCCTCATTATTCCCATGTTCAGTTCATGGTATTCCCAGTCCCATTAGTATAACTACATTTCTCAATTCAAGTCTTCTTCAACTGTAAGAAAATTGTCTAGCATCCATAAAGAAGAATAGACGATACTTGAAAACAAACCACAGTATTTGATATTGCATAAAACCTCCCCTCCTCAAGCATTTTGACATGGAACAATGAAAAAATTATTGAATGGTACTTTTTAATGTTACTGGAAATTCATCCTTGTTCCTTATTTGGCCCCTGGATTAAAACAACTTTCTTTTTATGCATTTTATTACAAATTTATGAAATTCTAATATTTTGGAGGAATATGATATGTCTGGTATGTCACTGAAATACAATAAGTATCACTTGAACTACAAGCGAGAAAAAGTTAATCTGAATTAAATAAAATTTCATCCATAAGATGGAATCTCTTTGTGTGATCTCACTAGAAATGAATCTTTAAAAAAAACAACAAAGCTAAAGAAATAGATCCAAATAAATCAAAGTAGAAATCAGTTGTAATTTTATTCCCCCCCGTCCACTTGCATCACATACTTTGCAGCCCATGCAAAGGGCATTCGATGATGTCCGATCCGAGAGCAGAAGAGCTTCATTTGTCGATGCACTTTTGTCCCAACCTTGATGTCTGTGGATCTCATGTATGGTTCCGTGCAATGCGATACACTGCCTTGGAGCACTTTCTCAATTTTGGCAAACAGATAGATATTGGACTGACGACCTGTTACTGAGAAAATCCCCTGTAAAAAAAAAAAAAAAAAAAAAAAAAAAAAAAATATTTTAAAATTCAATGTTATTTTATTTTTTAAAGTACAATTGAGAAATGGACATTTTTACTTCACTCATGATAACATAACCTGACATAAACTGTTTGAAAAATAAAGAAATGTTGACAGTTACTGAAGAGAAAATGACAAATTTATCCATTAGGTTGGCAGAAAAGGATTGAAAGATTTTCACATGACACTATTGTGTGTGTGTGTGTGTGTATATAAAAAATTCAGGATAACTTATTAAAGATTGATTTGGTTTTGCTGTGTTCCATGCTTCATGATCCCAATAAAAAAGGATTCTTCTTTGGATATTCTTATGATTCTGAAGAATGAAGCATTGCAAAATTCTGTGTTGATCTTTGATAAGTATCCTGAACTTTTTTTCGATACAATAATTTTTGCTTTGAATATCTTTTGAGTACTTTAACAAAAAATTCTGTTCACCTTGACAGAGGTTAAATTATATAATTTTACATATATCAATAGGTGTTATTACTTATATATCTCACACACACACGTACAAGAGATAAACGTCCTTGTGAGAGAAAGCCGTGTCATCATATCTAACAATGTTTATTTTGAAACCTACAAAAACAAACAAAAAAAAAACTTTTTCTCAGTCATAATACCCTTTTTATACATTTAAGAGAAACTTTAACAATTAAGATAAATTAAAAAAAAAATGCTATAAATCAAAATTAGAAATGACAATAAGTAATTTTGTGTATTTTCCATTGGTACAATTTTGATTACTTACTATTCTGTCCTTTGAATGGAACCATTCTTTGTCAAAATTGTACAGTTCTGGTGCTGCGTTCTTCACGCCATCAACTGTATGCAATCTGTCAGAGGCTTGGAGTAACTCTGTTGGGACCATAGCACGAACAGACATTTGGTTAGGATCTACGTGGTAATCTTCTGTGATCTTTTTACCGGCTTTGGCATCATAGAGAGCAAAAGAAATGAAGAAAGGCTCCGGCTGATTTCAAAGAAAAGAAAAAAAAGGAATTAATGAAAAAAGAAAAAAAAAAATGGCAAGATTTAAAAAAAAAAAATAAAAAAAACTTTTAATTTAAAGATTTCTTATGACAACCATTTCTTATTTTTAGGAATATGAAGCACAGTAAAGAATAATTTAACATTAAAAATTGTAGCAGTTATATTAATATTTTACATCTTCCTGTGATATGAAATTTAATATATAGGCTTTTGAGTAGAACATCTAAGACATGTCTATTTGCACATATCAAGGATTGCCTTGAGTCTTATCTTAGTCAAGTTGTCTTATACTATTTGTATGATGTGTCTAACGATAGTTAAACTCCCCTCCCCCACAATAACATTTCTGTTTTAATTTCAAAGGTCAAGGTTTATCATCAGCTGAGGCTGAAATGAAAGGCTTGTTTTTATTGGACATTATGATTGTTAAAAATATTCTTTACAAACTGCTCTTTAAAAATTAAAGTGATACAACAACTTAAGGATTGTCAGTCATAGCAAAAAAATCTCAGGTAACATTACTTTTTTTTATGTTTGGGAACTCTCAAAATGTTTTCCCATATGAACTTACATTGTTTCTTTGGTTTAAACCATTTTTACATACACAAAGAAAAGTCTAAGCAACTATTTACATTATTCGGAATATTGTCCTCATCTTTGTCAACATATTTATTACGTTTTGGTTGTTGTATGCTCCGGCCTTCTTCAGGTGGTTGAAATGTCGAACTGAACCCTTTATTTCGCTCACTCGGGTAGACTGTTCTAGTTCCACGTACCATGTTTAATGGATGTCAGTTATCAGTTATCGCCTGTTAATTCCCCTCTCCAAGTTCTCCACTGCTTTAACCGGGTATTGAACTCACACTCTTTGGGTCCTGTCACTGAATCTAACCAACACCTTTATCCACTGTGCCATGTGTCAGGAGATAACTGATAACTGACATCTATTAAAGATGGTACGTGGAACTAGAACAGTCTACTCCAGTGAGCAAAATAAAGGTTTCAGTTCGACATTTCAACCACCTGAAGAAGGCCGGAGCATACAACGGCTGAAATATGGCGACAAAGATGAGGACAATAACCCGAATAATATAAATAGTGTACATAATACCTCATCTCAGAAATATAGACAGATACTTAACTATTACTATTGTTATTTTTGCAAGTAAATTTTTTTTGTTGCTAAAGTCAGGTTTAGGCTGGATACTGGTAACATATAGTCCAGAACAACATGCGACATGAATGGGTAGTAGGCTTCTAAATCAGCTTCAAAACTACCATGTCCACTAGTGGAGAGAATAGTACATTACCTCACAGGATGAAAAACAAGAACTGTTAAAGAGTGGAAGGGCATCTTATAGAAGTCAATGACCAACATTTTTATATATATATATATATATATATATATATATATAAAAGAAGACATTTTATGTTTAACGTTCTTTTTATAGATACAAGTATTTAAGTAAATGCTCTGTTTATAACAAACAGTATTAAATAACATTTACCGGCCTGAATGTCCGAGAAATTTTCATAGAAAATATTCGTCCTTTGACAGGATCCGAACCTGCATCCTATACGCAATTTAAATATTTAAATACTTGTATCTATAAAAAAGAACGTTAAACATAAAAATGTCTTTAATAAATAAATTGTCGGACTTTGTCCATTTCTTTCTTAATATATATATATATATATATATATATATATATATATAGAGAGAGAGAGAGGCTAGGATGGCGGGTCTTAAACAAAACACTCAGTGTACTTAGACTACTGTGAGTGTCTGAGTTGGGGGTTAGGAAGAGCATCCAACCTTGTAAAACCTTGCCTATCATTATGACAAATCCTTGCTTGATTAATCCCAGTTCTGCCTTAACAAAAAAAATCAAAGCTATGTATGTATGTCCCAGACCTTTGCTTTACAATGTTCATTTTTGTTGTATCTTTTTTTTATTGCTACAATTTGACTTGTATGTTCTTTAGACTTTTTCTCCTAAGATTTTGAGCTTGAATATTTTCATTATCGTAGACATTATTCAGATGATTGTTTCCATGTTTGTTGCTTTCATCACAATGTTATGACCAATATATTCAGTGGTTTTCCTCAATGAAAACCAATAATCTTCAGAAATTGTTTCCGATTTCATTTTGATCTCAACAAGATCACTATAGCGTAACAAGTGGATATAATAATGAATATCAGGGCAAAGTGCTTTGCAAGAGAACTTTTGGACAAGACTAAAAACACTCATTTTTATGCTGACCAATAATTTGCAAGGCATCAACAGCCAATAAAATTTCTTCTCAGAAAATTCCCACATTATGCTTGGTTGGATTATACATTTTAGGATTTAGAAAATTATTTGGTCCATTTCTTTTTTCTTTTAATACTGTTTCTTATCTATTATATTGATCTCATTTCAGAGGATCTAATAATCTGAACAAGCTTGTTTTATATATTAGAAATCGCTACACAAAAGCTTTCATGTTTCAGTACTATAATTGTACTTCTTCAGGCGATGGTAATTAACTGGTGATTAAATTTCCTTAAAAATCATTTAATCAACAGTTACTTACCATCGCCTGGTTTGGTTTGTTTTATGGCATGTCAACCTGAATGAGTTATTTAATGCTGACAATTTTTATTGCTGATAATTTTTTTTGTCTTTAAATGTATTGCTGGTAATATTTTTTTCCTTCAAAAATTTATTGCTGGTGATTTATTTTTATTTTTTTTTACAAAGTATTTCTGGCATTAAAACCTATTTTTATACTTTCATAGTGTTTTGACCCCAGTTTGGGGGTTAACTATTTGCCCATAGCTGGGACCCTTACAGGTGCTACCACCCCAGGTCAGGGTGGACCTGGGAGCACCAGTAATTAAGAGGTGGTTCCACACTCCTCAAAACCTCCTGATCAGAGGCCTTGCTGTTGGATGTAGTTTATCATCTTACCCAGGACACACCATCACCTGAAGTAGTACAATCATAATATTGAAACATGAAAGCTTTTGTGTAGTGATTTCAAAAAATTTTTTTAATCTCTTATAATAAAAAAAAAAATATATTACTCTACTTTGTATTGAGCACTTTTTTAAAAATAAGTGCTATGAACAGTGGATTTTTTCCATCTGTTCTCTCATTTGGAGATATATATATCTATCTCATCTCACACTATCTCTGCCTCCCAGAATTTCAGACAACATTTTATTAACACCGTTAATAATTCTTTTATTTTCTTCATTGAAATAATAAAAAAAAAAATGTTTGTTTGTTTATTGTTTCTTGAGAGATGGAGATATTATTACAATTCTTCCCAAATTCTAATTTTGGTTATCATCCTGATTTCTTAGGAAAATTCCATTTTTAACTCAAGAAATACCTTTCTCATTTGATGATTTACTGACCTCTGACCTTTGCTTGTTAAATGAAAATAGAGAGGCACCTAAAGCTCAAACATTGTCAATAAAAATAAATCATTTCTCACTCTTTCCTAAAAATAATTCTCCAAAAGAATTTTCAATATAGACCAACTAATACAATTATAATTTCTCTTGTAACTGTCCAATTTGGTTCCAATAGGAAAAGTGGGAAGAATTATGGAAAAACAGTGAGAATTACAGCAGCATTTTTGAAGCAGATCTCTACAGATATATATAACTAAATGACAAATCAACGAAAACCAGAATCAATAAATTTTGTCTATTCTCCAATGTTGGGAGTTTATCAAATCATAACCAAAGTCAAAATGCGATGAGCTGGCAAGCTGAGATGGTTCAACCATCCAGCTACATTTGAAAACATACACCCTTTCTACTCTACCTTTTAAGGATGCTGCTGATTATTTCAAACAGACGTACCTTCCTTCACCCACATTTTTAAGTAGGCAGCTATTACATTTGGTTACATGATACATTCATATGTACACATATAATTACATTCTCTCTCTCATTCTCTCGCATGTGTCCACAAAACAGCCATTATAAGATGGGCTCAACAATGCTTACTTTTAATGACCCATTTCTGAAACCTATCATGACTTTTGATGGAAATAAAAATCTATTTGAAATGATAATTATAAAGATAGTGAAATTGACTAAGTGTTTTTTCATTTACAATAACGAATTTTGTTTCTATCATCCAAATCTGGCAATATATATATATAATTATTTATTCGAATAATAATTATATTTGCTCTACTCTGTATTGAGCACTCTTAAGAATAGTATTTGTTGGTTATTGGAATTTATTCAATATACACAATCCTCTACTCGTGTGTGTGTGTGTGTGTGTGTGTGTGTATATATATATATATATATATATAATTTATACACCCACACAGGGTTGCTGTAGATGGAATATCAATAACCAAAAACACTATTTTTTTAAAAAGTGCTCTGTACAAAGTAGAGCAAATAATATTTATTCAAAAATTATAACATAAGCAATCTTTGGTGTTTTGTCAAGTGATGATGCTGGTTGCAAAAGAAAAACTATTTTGCAATCAACACCATCACTTGATAAGACACCAGAAGTGTAGAAGCAAAATAGCTATTTCTGTAGTGATGTTATAATATGCTAATGTTATAATTTTTGAAAATGAGACAAAGTGGAAAATTTATTAACAATGCTTGTTGCCAGAGTGTCTGATCACTTTGACTTCCTCAGGTTAGAATGAAAAAAAGACAAAATTGTATGCGAAGGAAAATGCATTGGGATCTCTGAAGGTAAGTAGTAATCAGAAATCAAATTAGATACCTTAATGTACAGAACTCAAGAGAGTCTGTATGTTTTTATATATATATATATATATATATATATATATATATATATATCAGTGGTGTTTGGTTGGATTTTAAATCAGTCCACTAAAAAAACCAGAGAGTATTTTTATTATAATATAAGTAAAAAAATTATAACATAAAAGGCTCTAATATAACCTGAGGAAGCCAAAGAAAGCAGATTTTCCACTTTGACATCATCATCATATATATATATATATATATATATATATATATATAACATGAACATTGAAGTCAACACTCAGAGGTGACTTCAATGTTCACTTTTATATTTGTATACGCTCTCTTATATTGAACACTTTATTTCATAAATATAGTTCAACTTAAAACTATATTTCTTTATATATATATATATATATATATATATATATATATATATATATATATATAAAAATAATTTTATCTAACATAATGTCCTACCATCTATGTCGGCATACTAAATAACCTTTTAACTTTACCCCCCCCCTACACAGTTTATTAATATGGGTTCTCAAATAAGTGGTTTAGTCTACCAATGTAAAAGTTATATTTCTTCTTTATTTTCACTAGCCTTAAGATTTTGGCCTGCAGTGTATATGTATGCGTGTATCCACAGATGCAGACACAAAGCCTTGTTCGTTTGTTGTCATGATTATAGGTTGAGAGAAAAAAAGTAAGGGAGATAACTCTTTACTCAATCTTAACTGAAGCCATTATGGAGATCAATTGGGGATTTTGATTCTTTGAGTAAGAATATAAAAAAAGACAAACAATGAAAAGAATAAGAAAGTAAAAGAAAGTGAAGAGGTAATGTTATAAACATCTGCGTTGTATTAGATGAATAATTATCTAAATTGGGACGAGAAATTATCCTCCATCTTCTCATATTTAATATTTGCTGCCTTCTAGTTTATTTAATAAATTGTATACACCTCCCTATTGCCTGTCAGAAGTGGGGTAGTTAGTTGTAACAATTGCCAAATTGGTTGGGCATATTTCTTCTCAGTTGCCCAAATTATCTGACTGCATAACTGAAAGTAATGAATGATTATCTCCAGACAGAAGTTAGCAGCACCATCCTAATCGTCTCTGCTACTACTGTAGAGGGGCTTTTAAGGCAGAGCTGCTGTCAATCCAAAGATGAATCTTATATTTGACCTTGAAGAGTAAATATTTATCATTGATCAGGGCTTCATGATAATGTAAATCAATTTCATCAAAATCAAAAATTTTATATGTCCATTTTTAAAGCTATAATAAAATTGTGTATTCTCCATAAATTATGCATTTTGAAAATCAACTTTTCACAGATGCACTGCTGTATCTTGTCTTTTATAACTGAGTATCTCCCCCCTATGTGATATCCATGCGCATCTCCAAAAACTTCACAACTATCAATTACTCTAATTTTTGTCTTAGCAATTCAACCCTGAAGATGATCTTGGATGAGATTGAAAGTATTGCGAAAAATAAAAGAAATAAGCAAAGCTATGGCATTTCAGTTTTGTAAAAGCACTAAGAAATTGATCCATGAATCTAACAGTATTAAAATAAAAATAAATAGACATAGTATGTCTAGATGATTATATAATCATTTCATCCCAAAGAATGAAATAAAGAGAAAGGACAATAAAAGAACTGTATTCACGAAGACAGAAGATGGTAATTAGTGTTGCATTTAAATTTTTGAAGTTTGTAGGTGACAAGGGAGCAAGAAATTGAGAGGGAGTTCCACAGGCGAGAAGAATATATATATATATATATATAATAACAGCTGTCTTTCAAATGCTGGGTTAATCCCCCCCCCACACACACCCATGCAATCACTCACAAGATATTCAACCCAAAATTACCCTGTTGAAAACTATTACCTGTGCTCCGAATGTGGCAAGACTGCCTAAAATTCAGGTGGTCTTAAACATCTCATGAAAATCCACCAGTATGCCAGCAGTTTGCTAATCATAATTTGGCAGGTAATTTTTACCTGTTCCATCTGTCAACATGGATGTAAATCTCACTCAAGATTTAAAATCATATTTGTTGATATACCAGGTTTATGCCAGTCAAACAATGATTCATGTTATCCTTGGAAATATTTCTAGGCACAAAATTATAAATAATCAAAAAATTTTCTTGATTAAAATTGACATACATGTTGTCAGATTATATGTACGTACATACTGTCACGTTATACGTACGTACATACTGTCACGTTATACGTACGTACATACTGTCACATTATACGTACATACATTTTTACTGGAAACCAAGAAAATCTTGCAAAAAATAAAAATAAACAACCCCAAAATGCTTTTGTTGGCCTTTAAAAAAAAAAAACTTGTATAAATGAAAAATTGTTGCCAAAATATACTAAATATGTATATAAAGCAATTTCTCTGCATAGATAAATTGTAAAGCTACACATATACAGCAAAACTATATGAAAAAGATAGGGACATTGTTATATAATAAAGAAAAGACAGTTATGAATAGAGTATAAGAAATGAGCAGACAACAAATAGAATATAGAATACCTAAAAGAATAAGTCAACCATCAAGAAAGAGAGACACACAGAATGAGTGAAAGGAAAGTCTGCAATAGTAAATAGATGCATAATAAATATGTATTAAACTCATACATAAGGAAAAGAGAACATTTAAAAAAAAACAAAAAAAAAAAACAGAGAGAATTGGGTTTAGTCAAGTAAATCTAAGTAACCAAAATCCATTATCTGTCTAGGTCAAGAAACGACAGTTGGTAAGAGTTAGCGAGACGCTCAAAACATATGCAGAAATGTCTGGGAAAGGGCAAAATGTAATGAAACCATTCAAGGAAAAATCGAACTAACCTACACAGTGGAATGTATAGAATAGGGGGGGGGGGTTAAAACCAATCCTACCAAATTTTGATCACATGATCCAGAGCTAAGTTGAAATGCCTGCAGAACTAAATCTGTTTTACAAGATGGGCTTATGCAGATAAGCAGCTTATCAAGAAAAGATTATTGGCCTAGATTAAAGATCAATTTTTATGATATCTCAGTGTTAAAGATTTATTTTCCATCATCAAACAATTTAAACAATGAGGCCAAAGATTTGTAGGAAACACAAGATTAAAGAATGCATTAAAGATTTTAGATTAACAATAAAAACTTTTTAGAAACATTTTTTAATATAAAAATGTGTGCAAATATTTAAAAGTAACTAATTACACAATGACAGACAACCAAATAAAAATGCATTATTTTAATAACAAAAATTTGTTATATGTTTCAAAATATTTACTTTTGCATCAATAACTTTTACATATCAAATTTAATAAGAATAATGAAATTACAGCTGAAAAAATACATTAAAAATTATTAAAATTTAATGTGTTTTCTCAGGCGAGCAGAACATCTGCCAAAAATTGCTCAAGAGATAATTAAAGCTGTAATATTCAATTTATCAAAAAAATTTTCAAGTGACTCATTTGGTTTGCCAACTCCTGAGTTTCATGTTGAAACACTCAAGGTCAGATGTTTGATAAATCTATTGAACTTATTCACAGAAAAATAAACTCTAACGTGTTAAGAATTTCAAATTTGAAAATTAGAATTAGCATTCCTTTCATTACAAAAGAGTATAAATATGAGATCTGTTAATAAGCTTGATAGATTTATCAAATATCTGACCGTAATGAGCACTTTTGGCACAAAACTCATGAGTTGGCAAACCAGATAAGTTATTTGAATGTTTCTTGATTAATTGAACATATCAAAGAAATGTCAATCTTTCCTTTTAGAAAAAAAACAAAACTTATGTTAACAGTGCTGACTCTTGTGGTCCTACCTAGTATTGAACTCATCATCCTTGGCTAAGATTCCCACTCCTCAGCTTAATGGATATGTTCTAAGCAGTGACAGTAGCTTGTCTCCCTTCTTGCCAAAGTGGATTTAATCTTTAGGCATTATTTAAGTTTATTGAAATTTCTCCTCAGGGTGAGTTTTTCTAGTGTTTGGTGAAGTGCTGTCACTCAGTTTATTGATCAAGATCCCATTTTAACAACTTAGACATTTATTTCTTTAATATTCTATTTCCCAGTGTTAAAGAAAACTCAGCCTTAAGGATACACCTCCAATTATGACACTCATTATTGGGTGGGGAGTAACCTTTGGCCCATTGGATACAGGGTGAATTTTTTGAGATTTGAGGTAAAAAAAAATAGCAATATTGTTATTGTCTCTGAGATCTAGGAGAGATGATTCAAATTTATGAGGGTGGAAAAGGTGACAAATTTGGCAGGGACAGAAATGTTTATTAAGAGATACCTATTTAAGGATTTTATTGAAAGGCAATTGTAAGATGTAAAAATGTGCACACACACACACACACACAAATTATTCAGGGAATTTGCTTTGATAAAAAACTGGGATGTCATGTTGGCTGACAGATAACAGAGCAAGTAATCATTTGGTTCAATCCCCCCCACCCCGCTATGCTAAAATAACTATCTAACCTGCTTAAAAAGTAAAAAAAAAATAAAACAAAACATGAACTCAATCGTTAAAATTGAAAAACATCTTACATTTTGTATATTTTCCAACATTCCATCATCTGATACGTTGGCTTGTAACTTGAGCTGCAACTCTTCAACTTTTAATAAAAATCTGTCACCAAGCTGTTTGGGGAAGACATCGACCTGATCCAGGTTGTCGTAAACTTCTTCCTCTTCACTGCCAAAAGCAAATCTCTGAAAATACAAAGAGAAAAAGAAGGTCTTTGAGAGATTGGAAGTAATTTTTCTAATTAAAGAGGGGTCTGCTTTACATCATCTCATCCACAGAAATAATATAGCACTGAAACAGGTAAAGATAATACATCATCGTTTTGCAAAAGACCTTAAAAATGAAAAACAATAGAATCAAATCATTGTAATTCCTTGCCTACTGCTTATTATTATTATTATTAATAGTAGTAGTAGTAGTAGTAGCAGCAGTCACCTCAAAAAGGCTTTTAGCCCTTTGGAAATGGAGCCTTGTTTGGAGTTTCAGTGCCAAGATGGAGCTCTTTTGGAGCACAAAAAAAAAAAAAAAAAAAAAAAAATTGATGTAAAATCACAGAACACAGCAAACTATCATAGAAACCACCAATGAAAGACCCAGATGTGCAAGAAATGCAAGAAGTAATCTGATTGGCTGGTACAAAGACCAGCTAGCTAATCTTGAGGCTTGTATTATCTGGCTGATGGATCGGCTCAGTCAATTTCATCATTTGATTTTTCGGACGATATATCAGCCCTGTTGTCTCCTAAGGTTTAAGATCAAGCACAGGTATGAAAGTTTTTTTTTTTTTTCATTATTAACGTATATGAAAAAGTACTTGAATAACAAAGCCATCAGTTGTATCATTTAAGTTTTTAAAATAATAAATTACCAATTAAATTTTTTTCAAAAATAATTATTTCTAAGGAGCAAGATCATGATTCCAAATGAACAATAATGAATATCACAATCAGAAAAATGTTATTAAGTACAAAAATGATTCAATTAAGTACAAAAATGATTCAATTAAGTACAAAAATGATTTCAAATAAAACCTTGGAGCAAAATTTAAAAACCAAACAAAAATGGATTTATTATTCAAGATAATGGAGACTATAAGGTTATTGAGACTTGGTAATAAGAACAAGAGGAGGAGAGAGAAAAGATTTGAATCACTATTTGAAATGAGCTGACAAAATTTCTCATGAGAATTTTTTTGTTATGGAACAGGTGATTAGAGATTTTGCTAATGACACCATACAGGCACTGTAAGTGACTCGATCTGTACAGAAAATTGTACAACTGAACTTTGCTGCTTTTCTAACAAACATTAGTTCTACATATTTTACAAAGTGATAATATTTATACCTACTACTGATAAATGAAATGTAGACATCATTGAGCAAATTACATCCTGGCATTTCAAAATGGTAGCATTTAAAAAAATGTTGTGCACATATTTTTGGAGAACTTCAGGGTATTTTTTGAAGTTAGAGTTAGTTCATTTTTATCCAACATTGAATTGGATGGTGATTCAATTTGTAGATTATGAAAACGGCTGTAAAAATGATTGTTTTGGAGTGATCAAGGAAATTTTGCTGAAATATGCATTTATATTATACAGATATCTTGAAGAAAAAGAAAAATACATTTTTTTTCAATTATTAAAAATAAAAAATCTGAGTCTCAAATCATTCAAATTAACATCAACAAAATATCCCTGCATATGTTGAGATTTTCTTAAATGAAAAATAAATTTAAAGCCAGCAATGATAGCGTTTGAAGCCCAATAATAAAATCACTTAATGAATACAGTAAATTTCAATATACAAAGTTAACATGGAAGAGGTCAACATTTAATTGATGCCTGCTGCACAAGATGATGCATTTTTGTAGTACAATAGTAAATAACAAAATGAAGCTGATGAGGAATTATCATTATTATATGCTTTGCTATTTAGACCAGCATGTTTATCTTGGTTTTATACTCCTAACCTTCCAGCCATTGTAAGTTTTGACCTTCTTCAGATGCATCTTGAAGTTGAGAGTTCAATCCCTAAGTCTGGTAATGCTGGAAAGTTATACTCTGGTTCATTGGAAGAGACAAATAAGCAACACAAAGGTGAATAAAACGCCAGTATTAACCATGGCATTCTTGGTATTAACCAAGAGCAACTCACATCCAGAACTGGAGGCCAATCTCAAATGTTGCCGTTCCAATAGCAGCAAATATTTTTAGTTTCAGTTTGGGTTTGTAGTAGTTTGCTGCTGTAGTTGGTTTAAGAAATTCAAATAAAAACAGTAGGGATTTTAATTTGGCTCAGAAAGTTAATACTCTTATCATGGTATTGTTGTGGGTTGTAGCTGAGTGAAATATGTATCAGAAGGTAATTTATATAAGACAAAGATTATGCGTGCTTATTATGCATTATCTCACAACACGTAGATCAAATAAAGAATATAAAGACAATTTGTATTGCAAGAAATTACTAAAAACATAGTGGTTAGAAATCTAATAAAGAGATTTTTATATATACAATAGATATACATGCAAGGATAACAGAATTTTTGTTGCTTGTGGCAATTGAGACAAGGTTATGAAGAAAGTTCATGCAGAAATTTGGTCATTAAAATTTAATGGTTTTGTATGTGTGTGTTACTTGTTAGTTAGAATTTAAGTTGTGAAGAGTTGTCTGCCTTTAACTGTTTGGCTAAATTGATGAATTGTACAATTACTTTTTGTGTAGTGAAAACGTTCACTTTTTAAGTCAATTGTAATTTGATTACCACGCGGACAATGGTCAATTGAGTGCTGTGTTGAGAATTTTGAAGTGATATTGAGTCAGTGAATTGACACGCGTGGAGTTTGGTAGCATCTCACAAAACTTGATGACTGACTGACTTGAATTAAGTCATGCGGCTGTTTATATAGACTTTGGTGTCTAAAAATCATCTCCGGGGAGCTTCGGCGGTAAAAAGGATCTGTTTTGACTTTGATACAGTTTAGTGTTTCTTAACCAATAGAAGATTGAATATACTGAAACAAAGTGGTGATTGGTTAAGGCTTTTTTTTAGGCAAGAATAAATCTTTCTGAAAGGGGTGGAAGGCTAATGTGGAAGATTCCACAGTATATTTCTTTTTTACTAAGGTCTTATTAGAATTAATATATAATTTGGTGGAGCTTCAGGTCTATAACTTCCCACCATGACCTGAACATTTTTGCTCCCAGTGAAATGAGGAGATTTGAGACAGACTAATTCTGGCTGTAAGTTACATTATGATTGATCTGAAGTATGGAATGCCTTGGTATTAACTGCTATGTGTAATCTCTCCTAAGTAGAATAATTCTACTCCCAACAATTGAAATTAGGGTTCTGTTCAAAATTCCAATGATACAATTTTCAATATCTATGAAGGAGCAAATTTGAAGCAAAATTGTTCCACTTGATTGCCACTGAAGTAAATTTTCTTATTTTATCTCTATGAACCTTGCCCTTTCAGAATGTAGCCAATCATGAAATCTCGACAACATCCTGTCTTTTGTTGTTCTTAGTAAGACTTTCTCCTCTGTAGACCGTTTTTCTTTGTGCGATTTGTTTTTCAATTTATTGGCACAAATTTTTGGTGTAAATTATTTGCTGTTAGTATTCCCTGATTTATCTTGAGAATTCAATTTTAAAAATCAAAGTAACTAAATCATTCTAACTTAGCAGTATCTGTTGAAATTTAGCTTATATATATATATATATATATATATATATATATATATATATATGAATGAAAGAGAATACCTAAAGAGCTAGAACCTATCTATGTTTCACCTACCAGATCATCAGGATAATTCTGACTAAAGATGGTTGGCCCAAATGACATTTTATTAATAAAGTGGCCAACAGAAAGAATAAAATATTAGCATTAAAAAAAAATAAAAACAAACCACATTCTATTAGCCAAATAATCAGGCTTTTTTTTATATCTATAACCATTAAGTATTTCAGATTTCTAATTGAGTAGTTCATTAGTATTATTGTAAGAAGCTTTAGCTAATTTTTCCTCCATGCATAAGAGGCAATATCTATCATCAGCTTTATATTTACAGTATTTTTTTTTTTTTACTATATCCCATTTTAATATAGGCTCTATACCTTGCTTCTTTTTAATTTCCCACATATAGATAAACAAGTCCTGTGCGAAAATACTTCTATGGCTGTAATATCTGTTTTTGAAAACTCCTTGGGTAGAGCACATGTATACTTTTTTACTATTACTACTATTATTGAGTCTGCTGCTATACACCTGCACCTTATACACTATGGATTCATATTGGAATTTTCCTTTAAGGGGACAAGTAGCCTTAGTAATGAAGTTGCATTTGGGGAACTTAATATGTTGTTTATTTTTGAGCAGCTTTTATTGATCAAATATGCAACATTAGGCATTGAAATTTTTTCACAGATATCAGTTTGTGTAGTATTTTTTTTTTGCACATTGCATTATCTATTTATTTCTTTTTTCATACACTACCAGGGTTATAGTATAGGTATGAAATCATAATAATGATAATATATATATATATATATATATATATATATATAATTTAGTTTTCTATTTCTGAAGCTTGTTCATTTAAATAATATGTACACATTGTGTAGCTCAAAACTGATAACGAAAGGCAAAGAAAAAGGGACTTATTGTATCAATGAACAGAAATGGTTAAGAAAAAGAAAAAAAAATAGAAATTCTTAATAGGAAGTGAGTTATATTGAATATAAAAAAAAAAAAAAAAAAAAAAAAATTGGAAACATGATGCAATTTTTTTTAAATTTTCACCAACAGCACAAATCATCAGCATCAGTAATAATAGAAAATATCACTTCAGGTCATAATATGGGGTCAAGTAAATTACTGTTTTGGTCATTGAAATATTGATTTTGGGAAATGAGTCAGCCCATAAACTTTTCAGCACCCCCCTTATATTTTTCTTCTTTCCCATTTTATATCAAAATATATTGTTGGTTAATAGCAAAGGCAAACCAAGATTAAAAAAAAATATTTATATACCCTAAATCTGAAGTTTTAAATTGGATGAGAAAAGGTTTTCCTACAATGATTATTTCAATCTGATTTTTGTTATCTTTATCTCAATATTTTGGTCACTGCACCCTTTGACCTTTCTCATGAATCTATTGCACTTGATAATCTTTCATA